GCCCCTAGTAGCGTCTTTGCTCGTAGTAGCGATGCCAGGAGCCCCTACTCCTTGCTATCTGGCGTATTTAGGCAAACCTTTTTCTCTGCTGTGTGTGCTTGGGCGCTTGGGTGCCCCTGTGCCGCTGCTGTGTGCGCTGGGGAGCGTGGGTGCTGGTGGCTTGTGCCGCAGCAGGGTGTCTGCTGTGTGCGCTTGTGTTTAGTGTCGTGTACATATATACATCTTTTGGTCCATGTGATGTTTCCAGGAGCGTTGTGAAAGGAGTGCAATGATTCCAATGCTATCTGGGGTCTATGTTGGCGTAATACTTTTGTTATTTTTGGAATCCCGTTCTGGGCCAGGCCGGACTATTTGTACTCGCTCATCGAGCATGTGTTGGCCACAGACGGCACATGTGTTTCATGTCATAAGACCATCAATGGGCACTGCACGCCTCCAAATGAAAATGCATTCTGTGACAAGGTGCCAACCACTGTCGAAGAAGGCGTCTTCAACGGCAGATAGCCCAGAGCGGCCTGGAATCGACCTTGAAAAGGCTCTACGTATTCATGGATATTATATATATAATATATATGTGTATAATATATATATATGTATAGTATAATATATATATATATGTATAATATATATATGTATAATATATATATGTATACTATATATATGTATAATTATGTATAATATATATATATATATTGTATATTTAAAGAAGGTTCCTCAGGTTTCACTGACAGAGCAGTAAGGTGTGTTTTGGCGGCTGCCACATCCTGAGGCATTTTTCAGCCAGGTGGCCCTCAATTCAAGCACCGGAGGCGGTTGATGCTCACGGGAGCTGCACGCCTCTCAGTGAGCGAATCTACAAGTATTGCCCTTGTTGCTAGTAGCTTCTTGTTCCTAGTAGTAATGCCAGGAACTATTAGTAATTTCTAGATTCTAGCTACTAGTAGTAATGCCTTGTTACTAGTAGCGTGCACTTGAGGCCCTAGTAGCGATGCACTTAAGGCCCTAGTTTTTTTTTTTGTGCTTACCCCTCAGCACCAAAACGACCCCAGAAAGGCCTCACAAAATTTGACTTGCCAAAGACGTCTTCCAGACCAACAAGTGTTTGTTCATGTTCTTTCTACGGAACGAATGCAAAAGAAATCTATGCCACAATTCTGAGAGCTTCACAGCACTACGCGCCACCCACTCCATTTTTTTGTCCACATGCGACATGGCCACATGGTAGATTCAATTTGCTCTGTTTGGATTGACTGCCTTCAGGGCCTCTTTTCTGAAGGGCATTCAACAAGATGACATGAAGTCTCAAGCAGCCGAAGCGCGAGTTTTAAAGGGGGCCTTGTTACCCAACTACTGCCAATGTAAAAAATGCATCCTTTTTTTCCTCTCTTCTTTATTCTACACTTGTAAGGTTCTGATGGAAGTGGGCATCCCTGTGCACTTTAACTTCGATGGAGACGCCATGCTTTTAGAGTTGGAGGCTGGAGTGATGTTTGCTTTCTTCCCTGAGCGATGAAAGAACTCACTCATAGAAGTACAGTAACACATTGATGCACATTGCTTTTGCAGCTCTAAGACTTTGCAGGTGGGAGGCCCTTCACAAGAACCAAAAGAGTCCAACGGAGTGCACGTCCTTGCGAGCTAAAAATAGAGCTGAAAGCAGCCAAAGGAGCCAGTCGTAGAGTTGCACCAGGTCAGCTCTATCATACAGCGAGAGAGAGAGAGAGAGAGAAAAAAAAAGAGAGAGAAGAAGAGTAGATTTCTGGCACTGCATAAAAATGATGAAAGATGTAACTATATACAGTATTCACTATATCCACATATATATATATATACACATATCCACTTTGAGTATTTGCGAGAACAGAGCTCAGCGACTCTGCGTCGCTCGTGGTCAGCCTAAGAAGCTGGGCAGCTGCGGCCTCGCAACAATCCTTAACTTTTCGAAGAATTCATTTTCTGCAGCACGACCGTGCTTTCCGTGCAATGGCTGCTTCCAGTGACACTCATCCAACCTAGAGGACCTAGAGCCAAGAAAAAATCGCTGGAAGCAGACTTGTGAATAGAGAAAAATAGATGCTTAGAGCGCAGGTCCAACATGCTCATGCCTCCCTGACTTTTTTGAAATTAGTCTGGGGCCAGCATTTCAGAGCATCAATCAAATTTTTGTTTGAACTGGACAGCAATCGTGGCTTTCAAAGGCCAAAGTCCAGATGTTAAAGACTCAGCAATCATCACCGTGCTTGTTGTCTTGAAAATTATTTACTGTTGGCTTGTCAGTGGGACTGCTATTGGCAGTTTCAGCCAAACTTCGCTGGCCCCAATATTTATTTTGCTTGAGAGTGATTTGACTGTGGATGCGGTTGTGTTTTGCCAGTGATGTCAGGGATGACAGATGCTATGATATTATAACATCATAACATTGTGTGCCTTTTTGGCTCAAAGGTGTAAGGATGGCGGAGGGGGAGACAGTTGAGATACCCCTAGAGCCGTCGCAAGCCTAGCAGAAGTGAGTCTATTTTTACTTTTGGCCAGTTCTGTCCTTCCAGCACCACTGGGACCTGTGAATTCTGTCGGGTACTGCTGCATGAATCTGACCGAAGAACCTTGCTCCAAGGACAGAAGAGGAGCTCGCTGCCGGCGAGGTGCGGCTGCATGCTGGCCTAACATGTTACAGAATTACAAGTGTACTGGCTGTTTTTCTTGAAGAAAGAAGCCACTGCCTCGAAAGGGGCAGACCCTGGAAAGTATGTATTCTATTTGCAGCGCTTACCCTTTCCCAAAGACTGACAGACCACCTGCAACGGATTGAATTCATTTTCGAACCGTTCTTTGGCAAAGGGTGACTGTTCAACTGAGGACAACTGTAACTTAATCATACTGAATCAATATTATATACTGTATTGCGGAGTGGCGTGGATGCAGGATGTCCAGTTTTGAGGGTATGTTCGGGATTGTGAACACATCATACCCGCTAGAGGAGATCATATCTGCTAGACTCAATCCCCATGATCGGGTTCACCGCATTGTCGAAGAGCGAAGGCTTCCATACGGGCTTGTTTCTGCAATTTCTGGAAACGTTTGTGACACCTTACTCAAGATATGGGAGGTAGTAGCAGGTAGTATGTAGATGCCGCCGGCATTGAGCAATGTTGGCGGTCGACCCAAACCTTGGGCAAGCTGCTCTTGCTTTGAAGACTCGACTGCGATGTCCAAACTGCAACCTGCTGAGTGTGCAGGCGGCTGATGCTGAAGCGGCTCCTGGGGAGGCCGATTTTCTCAAGAGCCACCCGTACTTTTGTTTCAACCAATTATCCAAGCTGGAGCTTAACACTCATACCGATAGAATTCACTTTCGTTCATGTGTTGAGTGTTCACAGGATGGAGAGGAGGCCGCAGAGGCAGCAGAAGAAGGCCTTTCACTTTTTAACTTGATTTTGTTGCCTTGTGTGTATCAGTGTATCTATTGTTCTTTGAAGCAGTTCTGAATCAAGTGACTGAAGTGCTGGCACCTTGCTCAGAACAGCCACCGGAGCCTCCTACGCTTTCGGAAACGGAGATACTGGTGCTCTCTTGGCTGTGATGTAGCTTTTGGCCGTGAAACGGAGATACTGGAGAAAGATCACACACACCTGGACACCCATTGGATTGGCTTTTGAGGGGGTCATTTGATGGGCAGATTTGGACAAAGCCGCATGAAGCCGCTTTTTCTCGGGGTTTGTGGGTCGAGTGTTGGCGTGACGTTGCTTGGTGATTGATCGAAGTGTCCGATTCGTAAAAAGGCATCGAAACCCTTTGCGTATTTCGTTTGGGGGAAGGATGATTTGCTGCGTGTTTCGTGTGCTCAGCACATGTCACTTTGCGTCACCCTGGGATTGGTGCTCTCTGGCTTTTGGGAGGTGATGACTGTCGCTGTGCAAGCAGGCTTGTGGCAGGGAGTCGTGAGGTTGCGACGTTTGGTGCAGGTGAGTGTCGCTGCTTTGTGCCATTGGGATTGGCGTTTCAGAGTGGCTTGGGCTGCGAAGCTGCTAGGCAGGTCTGCGTGGTGTGTTCGCTCTGATGAGACGTCCCGTTTTCGCTTGTTTTGAAGGCTTGATGCGTTACTGTTGGAAGCGTTCGCTTTGAAAACGGTGTCCAAAGGTGTCGCGCAGTGCCTTACAAGAGTGTCCTAGGAAGAGTGCCAAACAAAAGTGTCGCACAAACGTGTCCTACAAGAGCGTCCTCGAAAAAAAACAAGTTACACCAGAATGTCCTTGTCTTTGACGAGTGTCTGTGGATTGGGGTTGGTGGGTTCCCTTTTGTTTTTTCAGTCTAAAACACGGCCTGGACGTTCGCCTGTGTGGTTGATTAGATTGGGCTGATTCCCTTTGAGGTACGAATGGGCAACTGCGCCCCTGAACCTGGTGAAAGCGGGCTGAAAGGGATTTTCATCAATGCTCTGAACTCAGGGGCAGTCTCACATCCTTTTAGCCTTCATGGGGCTCTTGTTTGGATTCGATGCAATGAGTTGTTCTAGTATTTCCAGTTTCAGTCCCCAAATCTGTGCCTTGCAAACCTCAAGGAGGCATGCCAATGCCTTGAGGCCTCCTTGGCCAAAATCAAACATTCAACGAAAAAGAACTCACAGACTATACAGATCCAAACTGCTTCACAACGTGCGGACCTCCCAAGCCGTTCCTAATTTGACCAAACGAAGCAACACTAATCAATGCTCACCATTGCATTCCCTCCCGTGCAATCTGTTGACATCTAGTTAGTGGCAAGTCAACTAAAAAGAAAAGCACTCATCGAATTGTTTTATTTTGCCGATCGACCCCGAATGGCCGGTGTTTACCATGACGACACCGCCGCCGTTGCGCTTGGTCATGAAGAGCTACGACAAGCTCTCGCAGACGCTCAGTGAAACTTAGATATTTTTGCATTTGTTTGTAAGACTCCTCTTGAAATACAGAAGTCTCCTTTTGTTCGCTGAGCTTTATATATTATGTGTGCATAGCTATGACTACAACCATTATAACCACACGATTTGCTGCCAAGGATTTGCCAAGAGAGTGTTCATTCTTTCTGCCAATAGCTAACGTGGTATGTTGCGTATGTGCAATCCTGAACCTGGAACCTCATGATTATATGCATTGCTTCTTTTTTCCTTGGCTTTTGACCACCCAGGATATCCATGAAGGTCACTTGGATAGATGAAGATGGTGAGGACCCATTATGGAACAAGAGAAACTACACTATACAGGATTGTCAGGCTTGGTGTATGGCTGCCCAGATTTGCTTGCCAATCAGTATGCACTCTGTGATCACATGATGTGACATCGTGCAGAAAAACAGGAGCAAAACTGGAGCTCATGGGATGATGCTTTGTGCGGCCGCTGTGGCGCCACAAAGGTGCTGCCAGCACAGAGCAGAGATATTCAGGCGGCGGCGAGGGACCCTCGCGAAGGCTATATAAGACTACTTTTGTCATCTTTTGTCCTGAAACAAACGTTTCGTGATCTTCAAGATTTCTGAAGAGACCCGTTTTTTTTTCCTGGTTGTTTCGTTCGTGACCGAGGGTGCCGATGTTTGCAGGTGCGATTCCGTGTGCAGCCTGGGGGCCGTAAGGTGCGAGTAGACGGCTGAAAACTTGTAGCTAAAGCTATGGCTTTGCGGCTCAAAGAATAAGGAGAGAAGAAAACAAGGGGACCCAAGCACCGTTTTTCCCTTTTGTTTGCTTTGGTTGGCTTTTGTAGCTCTTTGCTTCGGCTGCCGGTAAACCTTGTCCTACTGTCTTACCGTACTGAAGGTCCAGCAAGTGGATCGGAAAAATCGCTGTGCTTGGACCAGAGCTGGCGAAGAGGTGCCCAGTTCTTGTTTAACAGCACTCAGCAGGCATGTTTGTAGATTATATTGATGTTTCAATATGTTTCAATGGAAAACAATGTTTGACGTTTGCTGAGTTTGCTGTATACTTTATTGTCCAGTCTTCACGTTGACAACGCATAGGCGCATAGGAATCTTTGCCTTGTCCCGTCTAGTCTAGTCGCATCACTGAAGTTCGACTATTGAATTTCCGAATGAACGCCCGAGGTAATTCACTTGAGGTCTTATGGGGATGCTTGCCTTATCTTGCATTTATGCTTTTGGAAGGATTTGGAAGGGAGGTCGCAGAAATTTGAAGGATGCATTCAACTTGACTGAGGACGATTCTAAAGGCATTGATGCTTGGTTTGAGCTTCGAGGGCCCATGACTCACTGCCATGCCAGGAACCTAGAAAAGCAGCTCATTTTCGGTGGAACACCACTATCATGCTGACAGATGATTGCAGAACTTGTTCTGATGTCTTCCTGCTATCTGACATCAGGTGTGGCGGGCTTGGAATGCTTGCAACACCGGTGCTCCTGATCCATGGGAGCGACTGATGGAGTGTTGTAACCTGCGATTTGTGGGAAGCTAGCATGAGCATCCATAAGCTTGCGCCTTCCTTTCTCCAGTTTTCATCCAGAGTCCAAGTTTTGAGAAGGAGCACTGGCCAGACTTCCCTTCAGATCGGGCAGCACCACCGCCTGCGACCTTGCAGGCCTTTTTGAAGGGTCTGGGCCTGTTAAGCTGAAAGACCACTCTTATCCTGGGCAAGCCTCGATAGACGTACCATTTGTACATTCTTCCTCCCTCCGTTTGGTTCAAACGAGATACAGCTCCGCCTCTTGCACGTTTCGCTCTGAGCCATGCAACATGTTGCCCAAGATTGAGAGACTACAAGTCCAGACACAATGAGTTTTTTTTTGTTACTCAATTTTGATGCTATTATTTGACCTTCAAATGCCAAACTCGGACTCGAGACATACTTGTAGGATCTGCTGGGTAGCAGGGAGAAAACTGGACAGACAGAAGAGATTGTCGAATCGTTGCTTTCTCTCTCTCTCTCATATATATATATATACACACATACATATGCCATTGGCTGGGGTCGGCGAAATTCGGCGGATATGTACATACAGTACTGTTTTTGTTTTGTGAGCAAGAGTCGTTTTGGAGGCGGCGGACACCGCTGCGCCTTGGCCAGGCAATCAGGCTCGGCACAAAGGATACCAGGTCACTGTGTTTCATGGCAGGATTTTTCTCCAGTTTGACTGATTGGCTCGGAGTGTTTAGGAGTCAAGAGGCTTAAAGAGGCCAGCCATTTCAATGTTGTAACGCTTTGTCATCTTCGGACTTCGGACGTCCGCTTTGCACCTCTTTGCCATGTCAGGCTTCACCCAAGGGTGAAGACTACACCGTGCGAGTCACCGGCGCAATGTCCAGGTAAGGATCCACACGAACCCACGGGGGTTAGTCGGGCTTTGGATGTCATCCATTTTTGAGCAGCGATGTGTCTACAACCAGCTGCGCAAAGGCAAGCTTTGCTAGCTAAACTAATCCCAATGATGTGCCTTGGGATGGGTTTGATGGAGGTCCCGACATATTTCACTTAGTTCATATATGGAGATACTTCACCTTTGTTCATGTTGGTACTTCTTGCCCCTTTGACCGTTCAGGTTGGTGGCTGCAGCAGAGGTTCTCCTGGCAGTACGACGACGCACCTCAAGGCTGGTGGATCTCAGTTCGGGTTCGAACGAGCAAGGCGATCCTTTGTACTTCAAGGGATAGTGAAGAAAGAAAAGAAAGACAGATAGTAAGGAAAAGAGATAGTAAGGAAAAGAGAAAGGTCAAAAGGTTTAGTTTCCCTACAAATCTAAGAACGAAATCAATCATGCGAAGAGTTCTTCAAGAAAGCTCAGGCAGGGAGAGCTTCCTTGAAGAACACAGATCCTTTCTGCGTCCAGTCGGTAGTAGCTTCTGCGGCCTACCCTCCCTGAAGGACAAAACCTTTAAAGGTGTGACATCCAAGACGTGCTAGGCGCTAGGCGCTACGCGTTTGAAGATGCATCTAAACTTGAGCGTTCGTAGACCTGAATTCAAGACCCTTATATAATGGTTTCGTGAGGTTTCTTTAGGATACCTTAAGATGTATTTATGCAGCACATACAAACAATGCTTGTGGACACCAAACCAGCTGAAATGACAACCTTGTCATTGCTTGATCCGATGTCATTCCCGAAGTTGGCTCCAAGGGCCTTGGAAGAGCTCGACAACCAGCTGACAAAGCAGCCTCTCGGCTGTTGCTTGTGCTGGACACCCACAAACATTCTGAACGTGCTATAGTTTTTCCTAGTGTTTGACATCTCTTTTTTTCAGGTGTTTTTTCTTTGACTTTTGAATCACTTGTTCAACAACATTTGCACTCATTATCATATACTGTAAACGAACATGCTGGTGCAAGTTTGCAGTCAGCACTTCCTCTGACATCTCCTCGTGTCATGTGTGATACTTGGCTTTGAGGTGGTTTCGTGTAACTTGATTGCATTGGGTTCCATTTTCTCTTTGAGAGCTGGTCTCGATGCCAGAGTTTTATTCTCTTTGCGCTCGTGGGAACGGAGGGAAGGAAAGGTCAAAAGTGTAGAGCCAGTGAGGTGAATTCCGGAAACACCGTTGCTGCTGGCTTGGCAGCATCTTGGCTTGGAAGCTCAAGATAGACCTCACAGCACGGTACTTTGCAAAGTGCATTTTGCAACGCGTACACCGCCTTGCACAAGAAGCATGTTTTCTCACACCCAAGCACTAGAAATATCGAAGGTGGCATCATTCGGCTCTTTGTTCGTGGCACCTCCGATTGGTGTGGCTCTAGGGGCCACCAGTGCTGCTGCGGGTGTTAGCAGCGGTGCTGGAGATGTGGTGGCAGATGCAGAGCCTTGACATTTGAAGCAGATGCAGGTGACAGATGTAGGGTCATTGATCGGTAGATCTCTTGGTAGATCTGAAGGATTGAGGTAGAGCTCCTCTGGCTGGGACAGTATTCTCTGTGTCGCAGTGCGTGAACCTGACAAACGTTCTTCTAGCAGTTTCAAGAGCCACTTTGTGCATCATGTCTAAGGAGAAGGGTCGCAATTTGGCAAAGCTCATGGAGGTTGACATCACTGAAGAGCCTCTCAGCTTGTCAGTGTCCCGTGAAATGCATGTTTGCACGAGGAAGAACACACATCATCAGAATCCATTGTCATCCCAGATATATAGATAATGCCTACATAGTGAATTGTTATATATATATATACACGAATGGATTTGTTCCGTACTCAATCCCACAGCCAACAGCATTCTTCAATGTGATATGACATATTATATGTTTACCTTTCTTCAGGTTGGCCTTCGACTCCATCGAGTCTGAGCTTCGCTGTGCTCTTGCGAAGGCGGTGCAACGACAGCGTGGTGCCAGCCGTGGGGGGGGCCGCCGCCACCACTGCCTTGGCTGCCTATGCACAGACGGCGTAGCTTGAACTGCAGATGAGGTTCTTTGCCAAAAAGCCTGGCCAGGAGAAGGACAGGATGAGACTTGAAGGAATCCAGCATCACCGCACATTCCACTCCCACTCATGAGTGCACTGGACTCGTGCTGATTGACGTCTTTGCTGGATCGCGAGTTTCGACACGGCGAGGCTCAAGCAAATACAAGTATGGCATCATAGAAGATCCCAACAATTCCCCAAACAGTGTGGACACACTAGGGGTTCTTATGGTAATAGTTGAGCACCGGTGTTAGATCGAGGTGTTGCGCATCCGTGTCCGGCTAATTCGCTGCTATTTACAGCACATTCATGCCTCTCGAAATCCTCAAAGTGCATTTCGACTGCGCAGGCTCGCGAAATCTGGGTGGCGGCGGCGGGTGCTTGTCGTGACTGCGCTCTCGTTGTCGTGCCGTGCGCATTTTCGGACACTTGTCGTGGCAGGTGCAAGGGAAAATTTGGTGGTCCAAAGTCGACTTGTCGGGAGAGGCGCAAGGGATCGGAGCGGTTTTACTTCGAAGTGCAGACTTCGTGGCAGGCGCAGCACTTTGGACACGGTGGTGCTCTTCGAGGTGCTCTGATTTTGTGACAGGTGCAGTGAGTCGTGACTTTTCAACGTGTGGCTCGTTTGCGAACCTCGAAGTGCAGATTCCTGTGGCAGGCGCAGCGCTTTGTGAACCTCGAAGTGCAGATTTTGGGGCAGGAGCAAGCACTTTGTGAACCTCGAAGTGCAGATTTCGTGGCAGGGCAGCACTTTGTGAACCTCAAAGTGCAGATTTTGTGGGAGGCCTCACGCTCACGCTCACACACACACACACTCTCTCACTCACGCACCCACTCTCACTCTCACTCACTCTCACTCACACTCCCACTCACTCAGAGTGAGAGTGAGACTGAGACTGAGACTGAGCCAGAGTGAGAGTGAGTGAGAGTGAGAGTGAGAGTGAGAGTGAGAGTGAGAGTGAGAGTGAGAGTGAGAGTGAGAGTGAGAGTGAGAGTGAGGGTGAGGGTGAGGGTGATGAGAGTGAGGGTGAGTGTGAGTGTGAGTGTGAGTGAGGGGTGCGAGTGGGTTGTCGGAGTGAGAGGGACTCGCACACTCTCTGACTCACACTCGCGCATTCTCACTCTCACTCTCTCACTCTCTCTCTCACTCTCTCACTCTCTCACTCTCTCACTCACTCACTCACTCACTC